TCTTCTTTTAAAAGCTATCTATTCAGACCTTTTTTTTTTTCAGTGCTGGAGATCAAACCCTCCCCTCCACCCAAGCACTATTCAGGTCTTTTGCCTATTTTTTTTTAAAAATAGGGTTATTTGTTTTCTTGTGATTGAATAGCTTGAATTCCTTAAATATGGATTAGTCCCTTAATCAACACATGATTTGCAAATATTTCTGCCAGTTTATAGGTTGTTTTTTCAATCTGTTGTTTCCTGTGTTGTAAAAAAGCTAGATAACTTATTAGAGTCCCATGTCCATTTTTGCTTTATTGACTGTACTTTGAAGTGTTATCTAAAAAGTCACTGCCCAGACCAATGTCACAGTTTTTTGCCTTTATGTTGTTTTCTAACATCTTTACAGTTTCAAATCTTATATTTAAATCCTTAATCCATTTTGAGCTGATTCTTTTATAAAGGATGAGTTTAAAGAAAGGTTCACTTTCATTTTTCTGCATGTGGATATCTGGTTTTCCCAACACAATTTGTTGAAGTAACTTCCCCTTACCTATTGTGTGTCTCTGGCATCTTTCCCCAGAACTGACCATAAATGCATAGATTTACTTTGGGACTATCTTACACCATTGGTCAATGTGTCACTTTTATGCCAGTGCCAAGCTATTTTGATATAATTTTCTAATATATTTTGAAATACAGTACTTTGATATTTCTAGCTTTGTTCATTTTACTCAAGATGATTTTGACTATCTTGGGGTCTTTTGCGTGGTTCCATATAAATTTAGGACTGTTTTCCTATTCCTGTGAAGAATGGCAGTAGGATTTTGATAGGGATTACACTGAATCTACAGCTTGCTTTAGGTAGCATGGGCATTTTAATAACATCAGTTATTCCAACCCATGAACACAGGACATCTTTCCATGTATTTGTGTTATCTTCAATGTCTTTCACCAATGTTTTAGTTTTCAGTGTATACATATTCATTTCATTTGTTAAACTGATTCACAATTATTTTAAATTTTTTCATGCTACTCTAAATGGGATTATTTTCTCAATTTCTTTTTCAGACAATTCATTATCTGTAAGTGTATTAAAATGTTACTAATTTTTGCATTAACTTTAGAGAATTCCTTTATCAGTTCTAGCAGTTTTTAGAAGACTCTATGAAGTTCTATAAGATAATGTTGCCAACAGAGACAATTTCATTTCTTCCCTTAATATCTGGATACCTTTTATTTCTTTTTCTTGCTTAATTGCCCTGACTAGGACTTTGAGTTCTACTATACTGAACAGAAGTGATAGAGCGGGCATCCTTGTCTCATTCCTGACGCTGAAGGCAAAAAGTCTTCAACTATTCACCATTAAGTATGTGTCATCTAGGCTGGCAGGATGGCTGAAGTGGTAGAGTGCCTCCCTAGCAAGTTTGAGGCCCTGAGTTGAAACCCCAGTACTGCCAAAAGAAAAACCCAAACCACCTACAATGATGTTAACTGTGGGACTGTCGTATTGTCACTTACAGTTTTTATTATGTTGAAAAAAATTCTCACCATATCTAATTTATTGGGTTTCTATCATGAAAGGAAGTTGAATTTTGTCAGATAATTTTTCCACATCTATTAAGATAATCATATGGCTTAGACTTATACTATTTTTTAAAGTATGTAGAAGGTGAACAGGAAGTTCAGTGTACCCTGGGCATATGGAGAGTAACAATAATTCATTTTCTACTGCTCTCAGGAACAAATGAATACATTCTTTTTACCAAAAAACTCGTATGATCAGGTCTTGATGTTATAAAAAGCAGTATTATAGTTTTATGTCTAATAAAAATCCTTATTTTACAAATAAGAAACTAATGATTAAGAATTATTTCAGAGGTGGGTTAAAAGCAACTACTTAGACAGTAATCATTTATATAATGCAGTTAAATTTTGTCCTTTCCTTTATCCATTCATTCTACTAATGTATCCCTAACACAATAACTAGCCAAACACTTCTGCTATAGGTCCACCTCTACTTTAAAGAAGTGAAAGCAGAGTATGCCCTTGAATCTTGTCAAACTTAATATGAAATGAATTCATTTTGCTTACATTAATGTACAATGTAAAACACCTTAAAACTTTATAGCAAATGGACCCAAAGTTAATGTTAAAACTCTTTTAATCATCTGTATTGTTGCTGTGCTTTTAATGTTGCAAAATCAGTAGGAAGGGAAAAACAACAAGCAACTTGTATATGAATATGCTGTTTACAAAAAGAACTTTTTTTTTTTTTTTTTTTGCAGTGCTAGGGATTAAACCTAGGGCCTCATGAATACAAAAAGAATTTTAAAGAATCAAATTGGGCCAGGCAACGGTGGCTCAGGCCTGCAATCTTAGCTTCTCAGGAGGAAGAGATCAGGAGGATCACAGTTTGAAGCCAGCCTAGGCAAATAGTTTGCAACACCCTATTCTTGAAAAAATCCATCATAAAAAGGGCTGGTGGAGTGGCTTAAGGTGTAGGCCCCTAGTTCAAACCTCAGTATCGGAAAAAAAAAAAAAAAGTAGGGGCAGAGGAAGAAGGGGTGAGTCTGATCAAAGTACATCACACGCATGTATGTGTGGAAATATCACAATGAAACTCTTTTGTGTAATTAATATACACTAATAAAAAAATTCGAATTTAGAATTTATCCAAATTTATTTTTTTTAAATAATAAATTTATTCTGTTTATTCTGAGCAAACTAAAATACTAAGCTGTTTATTCTGAGCAAACTAAAATACTAAGCAGTCACAACATGTATTTCATATAGTATTTGATCTCCAGTTATCTGAAAAATCAATATTAAAAATGGTCAGTAAACAAAGCTTTTTGCTTTAACCTAAAACTTTTATCTTAAGCCTTGTTCCCTAAGTTATTTAATGTTCAAAGGGCCATGATAAATTATACTTTGCTACTAATTGTAACATAAGATTTTGACTTGCTGGAGGTTTTTTAAGATATAATGTTTACAACTAAATATCTTTTATATTCCAGATTCTGTAATAAGCCAAGAAAATAGATGAATGAAACCATGCCGCTGCTCTCAAGGATCATAATTTAGTGATATAAACATGTAAAGGAAGTAAGTTACAATATAACATGTTAACAATGAATGAACAAAGTAGCACAGAAAAGGTAAGCACAGAATGCCAGGGAAGTTTCATGGTGATATTCAGATTGGCTTTTGAGTGAGTTTAGGAATTTGATAGTAGGACTTAAGGGAGTGCCACTTTTCTTTGTATGAAACTATAGGGAAGACAAGTTTAACCTAAAGCTATAGAAGGTAGGCCAGTGATTTCTGAGGGCCAAGAATGGGTACTAGGGACTAGAGATTGACTGGGAAGGTATGCAGGGCAACCAGTGAAGTGATAAAAATATTTTGTATAGATTATAATGATGGTTACCTGAGTATATTAAATACATTTGTTAAAATCAAATTCCACACCTAAAATATATGTAAATTAATCACTTAAATTTACTACATTTTTCATGTGCAATTTATACTTCAATAAAATTTTAAAGAGACTGAAGCAAAAGGGCTACTTTTTGTGTGGTTAACACCCTTTCATATCCGAAAGAACCACAAGGTTCTGTAAGGAAGAAACGTTTTTCCAAAATAAACAAAGTTTAAAGCTCCAGCACTATTTCTTATTTTAGACTTCTCCTAAAGATGTAATGGGCAAAAAATGTAGAGCTCGGCAGAGTTCCAAAGACAACAGACTGTTTCTGAGTTTACATATTACTACTAAAAACGGCATTTTCCTAATACATGTTTCCATTTGTAATTATTGAATTCGTGGATAAGCAACTACTAGGTGAGGAGTTAAAGGGTTCTTTTTAACTAGCTTGGCGATTCTATGCAAGCTAACTCACATCTTTGGGATTATTTCAGCTCTAACGTAAGGAGGTTGGTCTCCTATGATTTCTTTCATTTTGAAGATCAAATTATTCTTAACATGGTTGAAATCCATATACAGGGCCAAATAAAAGCCCTAAGTCCAGATGCCGGAAGTAATGCTTGAAAACAACTGCACTGATTATCATGTTTTCTTTAACTTTGGACACTGTTAATCAATGTTAATTACATGTACTATTTCTTACTAGTTAATCACACAGGTTCTTCTAAAATTTCTATGGTGCTAGGTATTTTACTTCACATAGACAGCTTTTTTTTCTTTTTTGCAAATGAAGAAATGGGAGGGCTGTAGAGCTTAATTAAGTATCTTGCTCAAAATGTTGTATTTACAAGGACAAAACAATTACACTGGAACGTGTCATATGATTTTTTTATTAAGCTATAGAAAGGAATATGCACACCTGAGTGGATACGGATCAAATACAGAAATATTTTTGAAAGGCTATGCAACAAAAGGTAGTATTAACATTAGTGAAAGGGTCTGAGGTAAAGAGAAGCAGTTTTTCTATTTTTACTTTCTGTACTATTGGAAATTTTTCCAACATGAATGTCTGTTGATTCACTGTTTAAAAATAATGCTCTAGGTTAGAATCATGGGTTATATTTCTGACTTATTTTTTATACTTACAAAAAAAAAAGTTTGGTTTTTTATTATTTTTTTTCTAATTAAACAACATGGCTGATAATTTAGTGGTTAATTCAGTTGCACAGAGAACGAAGTACAAAGGTCATAGGATAAAAATATCCCTTGTTTATCGATAGAATGCAGTTTTAAATTGAAAAAGTCATCTGGCAAACTCATGCCACTGATCACAAGGATGAATCAGGTAAAAGCATGCAGTTGACTCAATATAAAACATTAATACTGGAAAATAACTAAGGAATGTCTTACTGAGGATGAGAGTATACATCAGAGCTACTCATCTCTAAGTAAATTTTTCAATTTTCCATTATGGCCATTCTGAAAAGAATATAAACAAGACTGTAACCACAAAAGCAAATAGTTTTTGTACTTTTAGGAAAGCTAAAAACCATACATTTTTTGTTAGTATATTACATAAGCATCAAATAAAGTACAATACCTGTAACATCTTCTGGATCTGATACAACTATATGTGCATTTAATTCCTGTAGCTTGTGATGTAGTTCTTCTAATTTTTTATTTGATTTTTTCAAAATGTTGTCTACATAAGCCAAACTTTTTTTATCTGTTGTGACTTTCCTCAGATTTTCAGCTCCTTCTTTGATTTTCAGTTCTTTCCTTATTTCTCTCTTGATTCGATCCTTGATATCATCCAATTTCTGTTGCACCATTGTATCTGAAAAGTCTAATTTTTGAACAGCACTCACATTTTCAGAAAATGGAAGACTTCGGGAATCTCCCTACAAGACAAAAAGAAAGGGAAATAGACAAACAGATAATGGTATGTAGAAAAGTTAGAAGCTCAGTTAAATATGCAGCATTAACGACAAGAAGGTTTCCAGTATAAAGAGATCCTTTATACATTCTGTTACATCTAATTTTCTTAGTAAACGACAGCCTACTTATTTACCTTTATTATAACCAAGTGAACCCATAAATTCAAATACTCAGCCCATTCTCTAAATAACATTACTTGACAGATACACTAGTTTCAAAATAAAGTGACACAACATATCTACACACAAAGGCATCTAGGGTTTGTATAAAGATAGACTTTGATAGCCTATGAACCCAAGTTAAATCTCAACCCCTACATCATGAATTTTGGGCAAATTACTTTACCTTTTAAAAACTGCAGTTTAGGGCTGGGGTCATGGCTCATGTGGTAGAACACTTGCCTAACAAGCAAAAGGATCCGAGTTCAAACTTCAGTAACACCAAAACAAACAAACAAAAAAACCCAGAAAACACACACACACACACAAAATGATTTTACAGTTTAATGATCTGTAAAATCTAAATAGTAATATTATCTGCCTTTCAGAGATTTTGTGATAATTTGAGATATAAGAAACATAATTCTTGGTCCACTGTAGTCATTTAGTAAAACGCTTAATAAATTCTGTATGTGAATAATTTTATTTTCTATAGGAAATCTCTTAAAAATAAACTAATCTTGGCAAAGTTAAATACAATTGTACTTTTAAGGCCACTTTTTAATTAATTAAATGTATTATGGCTTGGCAAGACCATATTCAGAATTCCGTTTGTTTCATGGCTAACCATTCCAACTAATAGTTTCATTAACTTACTACAGAAACATTAGCAGAAAATATCTCTACATACTAATATAAGACAACTGAAGCTAAGACAATATCCAGGGTATTTATCTTAAAATGAAAATCAAATCAGTTAAGCAAATCTAATCTACATTTAAAACAGCCAAAGTTATATTTGCCTGTTTTTTTATCTTTCACTATTTTGTCCATTACCCTAATTGTACTATTTTTAATTTTTTTTCATTCTGAAAGGCAAGAAATCAAATAATGGTCACCTCTAAGGGAAGAGTCAAATTTGAGAAGAACATGGAAAAGAAGAAGACATATTGACCTGTACAAGCGTGTACCTTTCTGAAATACAAAACTTATCAGTTGATGTTCTTTAATTTCTTTGGGAATTCATTACACCCATATGAATAAGTACTATATAAATTTTTGGTGTAATACTTTATATATCTAGTTCTTAATCTCTAAAAATATGTGCTATGCAAAAAGGTAAGCTAAGAGAAGATACGGGATCTAGTCTTGGCTTTTATACAATTTACCCTGTGTTCATAGGCATAGTATGTAAAAATGAAGTAGTTGATTTCTATTAATCTCATAATATTTTAAGGGCTAAGAACTCCTTTGATATTCCTACACAAAAACAGATCATCAAAGCAAATCTCTTATTTGTATGTTTAATTTTCACTTCCATGAACCCTAATTTTAAGAATTTCTGGGGTGCATGATCTCTACCTACTAGTTTTTAAATTTCTCATTTTTAATCTATATGGATATAGGATGATCTTCTAACTGGATCAAAACACTATTTATGTTTTTGATATTTACTTATTTATCATTCATTCATTCATTCATTTTGGTGGTACTGGGGATCAAACCTAACCTTTTACATGCTAGGCAAGCACTCTACCACTGAGCTCCCATCTCCAAACCATTCAATATTTATAGTAAACCCCATCATTCCTTTAGTTTACAAAGTTTATGAATCCAACTTCATAGTCATATGACTATGGCTGAATAATTAAAATCCAAATTCCTGCTGCCTGGCTTTATCTAAAGTAGACTAAGGCAAGCAATGCTTAGACAAAGAAAAAGATTAAACTAATCTCTATTTCAATCCTTTTATGTTCTTCAGAACATGTTAACCAAATTGCTTAAAAAAATGTGTGGTTTAAGGGTTGGGAGTGTGGTTCAAGAGGTAGAGGCCCTGCCTGGCAAGTAAAACCCTGAGTTCAAACCTCAGAGGCACAAAAAACAAAACAAAACAAACAAACAAACAAAAAACACATGGGTTTCATAATACTAAACCACAGGCCCCAAATTTCTTGATTCCTGGTATCCTTAGCATCTCAGTAATTTTTTCCTTATTCCTTATAGGCCAAAAGAAATACCTAATAGTTCTACTTACTGAAAATTGCTTGTGTTTAACAATTTAGTCACAAATTCATTTGTTTCTTAGTGGTAGTGGGGTTTGGACTTCGTAGTGGTTAGATAGGTGCTCTGCTACTTGAGCCATACTCCCACCCCCTAACTTAATCACAATATGAAATGATAAGACACACAAACTCAAAGAAAAAGTTAACATTTTTTATTTCCACATTTTTTAATAGCCACAGTTACTATCTACCTGATAGGTACTTCATAATATCTCAAACCATAAAATTTGCTTAGACATTCCCACTTTCATTTTCTGCCCCACTTTGCCAAGTTAATGTAGAATAGTCTAATAGCAAAACTTAACTGATGTCAGTTAGTTCACATGGTATCTAACAACAAAGGGTGTCACTGCATTTCCCTAGAAAATTTAAAATATACCGTAGCATGCTGAGAGTTCACTGAAGCACCACAGTCTTTTCATTTTGCAATTTGTTGTACTAAATTTTAAAGACTGTTAAACTATCCTATGAAATTGGCTTCTATATTTGATGTAAATCCTTTGAAGGCCCTTGTCTACTTCAACTCTTTTTCTTCCAATTTGTTCCCTAAATTTCAGTCATACCAAATTATAGAAATTTCCTACAGAGACTATCTCGCTGGGCTCAGTCTCTATGAAGGATGTACCTTTGGAATGCACCACCTTTCATGTCTTCAACCATCTCTTTCAATTCCTTCTTAGCCCAATTAACTCTGACTCTGTTTCAAAGTTCACCTCAACTCTTCCAGATAAAGAATCTCCTGCCCAATATCCTCTCTTAGGATTTAGTTAAATGACTCTCTGATACTGTGGATTTCTTTTTATTTTTAAATTTTGCAGTACTGACGTTTAAACTCAGGACCTACAACTTGAGCCACTCCACCAGCCCTTTTTTGTGATAGGTTATTTTGCAAGATAGGGTCTTGAACAATGTTTGCCTGGGCTGACTTTGAACTGGGATCCTCCTGATCTCTGCCTCCTGAGTAGCTAGGATTACAGGCATGGGCCACCAGTGCCTAGCCTGTGGATTTCATTTAAACAATTGTCCCTTTTATTGTTTGACCACTCCGAAAACTATGAGCAATTTGAAGTCAAGGTTATGTTTGGCAGATTAACTTTAAAAAATGATTTGTCCATTTTTTAATGAATTATTATTCTCATCTTTTGCTGTGACATGGCTGAAATACCTTTTGGAAAGAAGCAAGGGATACATACAATATAATCGATAATTTAAGATAAACAAATGCCCTTAACAACAGACAAGAAGGTTACAACACTTTCATATTGCTCGTCTCTAAACATTTTAATTTCAATAAACTGAAAGTTATTGGAAGTTATGATTTTGTTGCATTTGGAGCAACTGAAATAGGATATTTCAACTATTAAATTATGATTCTATCTTAAATATAATGAAAACAATTATAATTCCAGAATCATTACGAGACAATGAAATAATATTCCTCACCTGGGTAAATTAAACTAGCCTCAGGAAAATAAAAAGCTATAAAACCAATGAAAATCTTTAGTGATAAATAACCTTTGTCTCAATAGATTCTGTTACAGGCAGAAGTAGCTGTCTACCTCAACAACTTTATATCGATTATCAACATTTTCATCTATCAATTCACAACTACTTTCAACTCCATAAAATTTCATGCCTCTCCCAAAAGTAGGCACCTTGTCATCTTTTAAAAACAAAGTGCCAGGAGTGGTGGAGCATTCCTATAATTTCACTACTCTGCAGGCTGAGGCAGGTAGATCAAGAGTTCAAGGCCAGCATGGGCTACACAGTAATTCAAGGCCAATATAACATACATAGTGAGAACCTGTCTCAAAAAACCATGGAGTAGGGAAGTAGGTCAGTGGTAGAGTACTTACCTAACCCGTGCAAAGCCCTGGGTTAGATTTCCAGCAAGACATCAGAAAAACAAAACAAAACAAACAACAAAAGAAGCAAAGTTGGATCCAAATCTAATCACAACTCTCTTTTAAAATTCATTAATATGCTGAGAAAGTATGGGGATAAGAAAGAGGAAAAAGAATCCCACAAACTAATTCTAAACATAAAATTATATGGAAGGGATTCTCCACCAATTGTCTACACATAAAAGTCCCATAATTCTCATATCTTTTTATCACAGAATCACAAACTTAGTCACTTCATTCAAGTCAAATTAATCTAAAACTTTGCTGCTTACATTCCAATTTTACCATGCTTTTCTTTGGCCCAATTTTTTTTTCTTTTAAAACTACAAACCTAAATGAAACCTTACCAAATATTCAGAATATTTCAGTAAGTTTTTCATGATCAACCTTATAAGGAATGGGACTATACATTTCACATCATGTGCCAGCCCAGTATTTCAATTACACAAATGTGTTAATATGTATTCAATAAATAGCTACTTTTATCTTATGTAATAATGAAATTCTGATTTTATGCAAAAGCATAAAGTGGAATTTTCAATTTACCTACTTCAACAAACTCACAGTAAAGAAAAACACTGGAATAAGGGTAAGACCAGATTCAGAGAAGAACATGAAGAAAAAAAGACTATCATTTGTAACCAAGTACTTCATGGTAAGCAGAGGCAGGAAAGGATGTTTACTTCTCACTGGCAAAGTTCCCAGAGAACAAGTGAATATGTTACTTTATATTTCAGAAATATAAAACAGTGACCTGATAGATGCCAAGAAATATTAAAAGCATCCATAAAAACTCACTTCGTAAAATGATTCATGTACTGTTTTACCTAGGACTTTC